CAACACTGTATAAACTACAAGCTAACATTAGCAAAATAAAAGCTAACACTAGTAAATTACAAGCAGCTCTTGCAAAATAATAAGTTTTGCCAAGCAAAATTTTGTAAATAAACAAATAAAACTCAGAAAGTAAATACTGAGTGTTCTTCTACAACTCATTAACCTTTGGAGTTGACCTGATTCAAGATGACCACCTTTAAATGATTTTAGCTTCTACGGACCCTAACTACTTCAACATACTTTCATTTATTTCAGCCAAAAACATTTCCTTTTAGATTCAGTTTTTTTGGTTATTTTTGGTCTTGTGTGTATTCCCTTTTGGTTTTTATATTTATTTTCTGCTTTCTGATGTTTGTGTTTAATTCTGCTTCTTTGAATTGGACCTTTTCATAGAAAATCACGGAGAACAATCTACTGTTGTGTTGGATGTTTAACTTTACTTTTGCTAACTTTAGCTTTACGTGAATTAATTTAAACTTTTGTTTAGCTAATTCTGTCTCTGTTCTATATTTTTTCCTTTGAGATATTTGTGTACATTTAGCTTTTAGTTACTGTTTTGCTCATTTTAGCTCTTACCTATTCTAGTCTTGATTTTAGCTGTTTTCTATTTTTACATTTTGTTCAGCTAATTTTATCTTTTATTCTGACTTAGGCTTTAACAGCCTATTTTAAGTCACTTAAACAAATCCCATCAGTCAGCGTTTACATTGTATTTTAGCAGGAAATGCTAATTCTTTTTAGCTGCTTCACTACACTTCAGCTTGTCTCGTGTCACTGACCTTTATCCCCCTGACTACCCCCCACACAGGTCTCGGGGTGAGTCCACCTGTTGAAGCAGTATTTGGAGGACACAAACAGAAACTCTGATGGGGAAATGTTCTGATGTCATCAGTCAGTGGGACTTCCCCCCGGTGGTTCTGAAGGCCCGGTTCTCAGCCAGCAAGAGTAAAAATCTCACAGTTTTTTTAATGTAACGCTCCTGACGGAGCAAACACACACAGCGCTGTTGGTAAACACAGCGGCGGAGCGTCATGCAAATCTAAACACAAGTGGAGTCATTGTTCAGCAATTTGCATTCGGGGGAGAGCTTGGGTAATAATCCCATCCTATGATTGACAGTGTTTCCACGGCAACCAACACTGATCAAAATGTTTTTATGTTTTCGGACAACTAGTCTCCACTTGTCCTCCTCGTCTTCCTCATCAGGTCTCCTGGTGCAGAACCAGTGCCCCCCCCCCCCCCATCTTCCCCTCTCCCCCTCACACTGGCAGGGGGAAATGCAAATTCCTCCTTTTCACTCCTTAATTGATTAATTGATTCTTTTGAAGGCCTCATTTGTGTGCTGACCCCCCCCCCCCCCCCCCTCCCCCCTGTCGCTGAAGGCCGTTCATACATTTGATCCAAAATGAAACTTTAAAAATGACAAAATTTGACTTTTTTAAATGAATTTATCTTGCATGATCTGTTGGAGCTCACTGTATCTGCCATCACACCAAGTAGCAGCTGTGGCGGCCATCTTGAATTAGGTTGGCTCCAGTGATTTAGTATTTGTAGACATAAATAAAGTGACTTTCTGAGTTTCATTAACCCTCAGAAGGTTTCCTGGGGAAAAATTCAGCCGCGCATTTGTTTCTGGTTGTGTTTTTATTAAATTATTATTTTTTTGGTGGTGTCAATAAACACAATTGTTCCTGACAAGTCTAAAAATCCCTGCCTACCAAGCCCCCCTCCCCGTCGACAACTGTTGGTATTTGTTGGTATTGATGTAGCAGTGTGGGACGCAATATAAACGTGCTAGCAAAAATGCTACTGATACCTAGGCCTGTCGCGATAAACAATGAATCAATTAATCGCATGATAAATGAAAATTATTGACCTCATTTTCATTTATCATCTTTATCGTTTCTTCGTGTCTCTTGCTTCCAAGATGGCCGCATTCAGCCGAGTCGCAGCTTCACAGGCTCCCGGTGAACTTGATCTTTTTTCGTTCCTGTTGTTTTTGTTTTAAACTTTATTTTGCGCCTACAATGCACATCCACAGTACGGGCATGACCGCGACACACTTGTGGAGTTTTCTGTGTCGCTGCCTTGCCATCGTGGTTCAGTCCTTCCAGCCTCGGTCTCAGGCCTGTCATGACGGCTGTCTCCACGATCCTCCATCTGTCTGCACGGACCGAACTCTACGGACCCGTTAGGTTCCGCGGGGAAACGTGGATGTTCTCCGGTTCTGGAGGGCTTTCTGGGAGGGCAGCTGCTGCAGTCATTGTTACCATTGGGGTGCTGACAGGACCTGCTAATTAGACCTGCTAATGTTGCTAACAAGATCCTCCGTCTGCCTGATAGGACCGAACTCTGCGGACCCCGCTTGGTTCCGCGGGGGAACCTTGGATGTTCTCTGTCTACTGGACCCAGTTCTGGAGGGCAGTCTGGGAAGCAGCTGCTGCGGTCGTTATTATCATCATGCGGCTGAACGAAGCTGCTAACGCTGCTAACAACTCCACGCCGCTAACCGAACCACACCGCTAACTGAACTACTCCGCTAACAGTACCATGGTGCCAACGGGACCGTGTTGCTAAGATAACCTCACTGTCATCAGAACCACTCTGCCAATAGGACCATGCTGCTGTAGATTTATTTCTTTTTCACTTTTGGCGCCTTGTTTCTGTATTTTTGTTGCATACTTGAATAAATCCTAGTTTGTTAGTTTAGTTTATGTTAGTGCTCGCATTAAGCGTGTAAATTATAGCTGAACAGAACCTATGAGAATCGTGCTGCTGTTGTTCGGTGTATTGTTTTGCACTATTAGTGACTGGCGTATATCTTAGATCCTAATTTACTGTTTATTTTTACACTTTATATTTTTGCTATCGTTGAATGTAATTGGGACCCTGTGTACATAATTTCATTCCACTACATGTACCACATGTGATGTGAACGACAATAAAGAATCTGACTACTGAAGACACTGGATGACCAACTTCGGTGCTCTTCACTGACCCTTCCCGTTCTCTTTTTTCTCGTTTCTTTAAAATCCGTTTTAACCGTCCAAAATCACATTTTTGATCGTTAAAAGCAGCTAAGCTGAGAAGCTAAGCTACGAGCTAAGCTAACAGGCCGACCTCAGGAAAAAACCTCCGTCTTGTCGAAGCTCCAACAGTCACAGTTGAAACCCGTGCCTTCGTGTAAAAAGTTGTTTTTCTTTGAAAAAAGAAGCTGAGAACTTGTTTACTGATTTTTTTACTAAAAGCTTTGTGTGAAAAAATTTATGCTAAAGAGGTTCGGAGCACCGAGCGTCCGCCAATTTCAGAACTGAAAAACAGGAACGAGAGACAGCCCGTGTCACGTCAAGGAGCCTCCCTCCCATTTTTCTTAAAGAGAGAGAGAGAGACGCTGTTTGTTGATTCAAATGGTCTCATACTGCCATCCGGTGGTCAAAAAATGTACTACACACAAAAATTAACCAACATTTCTTCTTAAATTTGAGAAATATTCCTAATTGTCAAATTTCAAACGATATTATTGTTTATCGCAATAATTTCTGAGACAAGTAATTGCCCAGCAAAACTTATCGTGACAGGCCTGCTGATATCAAACCCCCTCCATCAACAGTTAGCGGCAGCAACATAGCGCTAAGCTAATGGGCAGGCAACACAGACGTGACTCCGTCCCGTTCTCATTCCCCCACACCCCGTTGACAAAAATAAAATAAGACGAGCGCTCCGTCAAGGGAACTGATCTATATTTTTGATTTTGATCTCAGCCCACTAGGTGATGCTTTTTTTTTTTTTTTACATTCAAAAGAGGCTGTAAAAATCACCAACAGGGGGCGGGAACTTACCTGGAAGAGGCGTGGCTATCGCGGCCGAACGTTGCTGTATAGTCCGATCTCTCATCTCGTCCAACAGAACAGTTTTAGTTTGAATATAAAGAAAAAAATGCGCTTGCATTGTGCACGAGTAAAGTATTCGGTAGATAAAGTAGAGCCGCATGCATTCAGACTGAAGAATTGGCTGCTGTTGGGCTAACGGCTGACTCCTGTTGGCCCGACCAAAAACATGGCATCGTTAATAAATTCAATATTTTTATTGATTTTTATTTAGACAGTTAAAAAAGAGTATAGCGGACAAAAGTCTTAATAAAGGGTATTTTTAGTCTGTTAAGGAAGGAACACTTAATGTCATGAAGTTAAAGGAACTTCTGGTGGTGAAAATCCATCCTCTGGTTCATGAGATATTTTGCTAACGATGAGGACAAATGGACGGTGGCAAACACATTATCACCCTTTTTCCTTTACTGGCGGGTGACAATGGGAGCTAATTTGCACAAATCTAAAAACTTTTTGTGTGAATTCAAAAAGTTTTCTTTCTGTTATTATTATTATTTTACCTTCCTGTGTTTTTTGATTTTGCCTTGTCTTTGCTGGAAACGTTCACTTTTGGTGACCTTACCTGGGCGGGGTGGGGGTGGGGGTGGGTGGGGGAACTCACGTGACCTCTGAGTGTGTCTTCCTTAATCAGGTGCATCCGCACACACACCAACACACACCAACACACACTCATTCCTGTCAGTCTCATAAGGCTTGTGGCCACAACTTCAGCGTCAGAAAGCAGAGACCCGAACGAAGCGTCTCCAGTCAAACTGGACAGAGGACAAAGGGACAGAAGACATGTCCACAGAACGGTGCTGCAGGGAACTGTTGACTGTGCGGACTGGCTGTGTGTGCAGTAAACACAGGAACAGTTCCAGAAGGTGACGTGCCCCACGGGTACGCAGGTCGAACACGTCTCACGTCTGCTTGTGCAGTAAATTAAAAGAAGAAAAGAACCTGAATAGACACGGGAAATAAAACCCGAGAACCCGAGCTCGTCTCTGCCTCTGCAGAAAACCACACCGTGCATCACCTAACCTCAGGCTGCTGCTCCTTCACACCTCACCTCTTGGTCCTGTTCATCTCAGAGTTCTTCTCCTGACGGCTCTGCTCGGGTCCCTACAGCTCCATGCCGGACCCCTGCTCCTCCTCCTCTACCTCCTTCTTCTCCTCCTCCTCCTGTTGGGCGTGCGTGCACCCGGAGACAGCGAGAGCAGAGGGCGAGGGCCACTTCATCCGTGGGGACCCACCCGAGCCAGGCCCGTGAGCCGGACCGGTTCTGAGGACCGGTATGAAGCAGAGCTCAGCAGCAGAGCGGACCACTTCCTGCTGAGCACTGGTCCCCTGAACATAAACAAGTCAGCATCAGATGGAGGAACTGGCTCTGCCAGATAGAGGAACTCGCATCAGTTTCTGTGTGTGTGTGTGTGTGTGTGTGTGTGTGTGTGTGTGTGTGTAAGGGGGAGGGGAGACGGCGCAGAGAGGAAGGAGGTGGAGAGCTGCTGATGAGCAACCATCAACATTTTTATTTGACTCAAACGTTTGAAGATTCTCAGCAACAAAATAAAAACTGAAGTTTCTCTTCTTTGTCTTTTTGTGTGCGATTGTCGACTTGCTGCTTTTGTTCCTGCATCTTTTAGCTACCTCTGCAGACTTTGGGCTGTTTTAGCTCTTCATGAAAACGTTCAGGCGAAGCATGCTGTGACTTTGGGTTTCTGTAACTTTTTTAAACTTTTTACAAAACTGGCTTTACTGCTCGGCTTTTGTCTTGTGCTACTTTTAGTGTAAAGTTGGCTTTTTGATGCCTTTAGCTAATCTTTTGCTACTTTTAGAAAACCTTTTACTGGTTTAACTTTTAGCTAGCCTTTAAAAATTTGCCTAGCATTTTTCAAAATTTAACTGCAGTTTTGCTACTTTTAGCTTTGAGCTAGCCTTTTGCCACTTTCAGTGTTTAGCTAGCTTTTTGTTGCTTATAGTATCTCGCTAGACTTGAGACTGTTACCTAGTGTTTTACTGCTTTTAGCTTTTATTTGACTATTTGTTACTATTAGTATTTAGTCTTTTGTTGCTTTTAGCTTTGAGCTAGCCTTTTGCCACTTTCAGTGTTTAGCTAGCTTTTTGTTGCTTATAGCATCTAGCTAGCCTTTTGAGACTTATAGCTAGTGTTTTACTACTTTTAGCTTATGGCCATTCGTTTCTATTTGTATTTACCGGTTTGCTCCTTTTAGCTTTGAGCTAGCCTTTTGTTACGATCAGTGTTTAGCTAGCTTTTTGTTGCTTATAGCATCTCGCTGAGACTTTTAGCTAGTGTTTTACTATTTTTAGCTCATATTTTTAGCTTGTAGCAAGTGTTTCAATATGTAAAGGGGCATTACTTTTAGCTAGTGTTTTGCTACTGGCTAGTCAGTGATTAGCTAGCCCTTTGCTGTTTATAGCATCTAGCTAGCTTTTTGGCACTTAAGTAGCATGAAGCTATTTTTAAAAAGCATTTTGATTCTTTAGTTAGCCTTTAAGGGTGGCCTTTGCCTACCTTGTACTCTGATTCGTTTAGCTAGTGTTCTACTTTTTTATTTTTTAGCTTTTAGCTTGTGCTCCATTTATTTAGCTTTTAGCTAGTGTTATGCTTCTTTTAGCTTTTAGATAATGTTTTGCTTCTTTTAGCTTTTACCTAATGCTCAGCTTTTTTTCTTTTAGCTAATTTCCTGCTTCTTTAGTCTTTTAGCTAGTGTCCTGCTTCTTTTAGCTGCAAGGACTCAGCTTTGGCTCATTCTGTGAATTTCAGCTGTGTGTTTTAATTTCTTCGGCTCTCTCAGGACCACACAGGGACACAGTGTTTGATATCCTGAATGTGGCCGTGCAGCTGGACGGGGGACGCTCAAAGGGGTCCTTGTTTTATCAAACCAAAAGACGGGACGTTAATGTCCCCCCCTCGGTCCTCCTGAGTCTCTTCTCTGCAGGAAGCTGAGGAGCGCGCGTGACGAGGAATGTCAAGAGGAAGAGGAGGATGAAGGAGCTCCTGAACAACCTGCCAAGTTGCCAACAGGAGGACATTTTATAGAAATGTCACCGACAATAAAAAAATCTACTTCCTGTCAAATTAGTAAGATTACAGTAATCTGAAGCAACACTTCTTCAAAACAGGAAGTGACGAGGTCATTATCCAATACCAACACATATGTGCCTTACCTAATACTTTTATTTTGACACGTTTGACTTACATGATGCTTTTAATTTGTTTTTTGTCTTACCTAATGCTTTTATTTTGACATACTGTATGTGCCTTACCTAATACTTTTATTTTGACACGTTTGACTTACGTGATGCTTTT